AGTAGGCCCCTCGTACTTGCTGAGTGAGTGAAGAAATGCCCCAAATGGGGTATTCCAATGTGAGGACCTCGGAGTCCACTCAGAGGCCCTGTCCACTTCCATTGTATTGGAAAGGGGCGGGGGAGGCCATCGGGCTTTTGGCTCATTTGCCAAGGGCAGCTCATTTGGGCTAAACAGTGGACTTTAGCTCATCCAAACAAGAGCAGGAAGCCAAAAATGACTAACTGGATTCGTGTGACCCAGCGGAGACTGCCTGTCCTCAGGAGAGAAGTCAGGATAGTGGTGGCAGTGGTGTTGGCGGGCGGCATCCTGTTTGGGGCTGATGGAGAGTCAGGCCTGCAGGGCGTGGGGCCGAGGCCCCCTGGATTTGTGTGTTTCTGTTTTATGTGTGTGAATGTCCTTAAATAACCCACCTTGCCTGGAGAAGAAGGCAAAGCGTCACACCCAATTCTGGATTCCACATTAACAGCCTCCTTCCGCAGTGTTCAACTTTGCCCTGGAGGCCTTTTGTTTAACTTTTTAATTTGAAAAACAGATTCTGCTGCGTCACAGTCTGTTCCGCCCTCCCCACCCCGCACCCCCAGCACCCTCTCCTTTTTTTGCTTAAAGTAAAATATAGCTATCTCAGACAGACTTGTGTTTCCTTTTGTTTCTAAGTGTGCATCCTGCCCTCTTAGTGACGAGAGTATATCAGAGGCCTTTAAAAAAGTTGTTATTCTCATTAGAATGTTTGTTTGTTGTTAACCAAGAGTTGAGTCTTCATCAACCTTGTCTCCACAACCTCATGACCAGATTTTGGAAGACAGCCTCAGTTTCCTGACCTGCCCTCCATGGGGCGGAGGAAGGGAGGAGCCTGCTTGGTCAGGTACCTGCCGCCACTGCAGGCTTCCTGTTTAGGATGCCCTGTAGATGTTGTTTATAGGTCATAAAACCTGACCGCTCTGAGTATTCCAGGATCCTGGCAGAATGTGGTTCGAACTTTCATGGAGCCATAAATAAAGAGGCGGGAAGTGTGATAAAACTCCTGAGAGAACGCAGGGGAAAGAAGTCACGCTGCAATGGTTAAATGAAATTTTATAAGCATATTCAGTGTGGAGCTGTTTTGCATTACATGAGTTGAATACCTTAGAGACGCCACATCTGCAGGCACTTTATTAAATCCTTAGTCAGCACTTTCCGACCTGATGAGATTACTTCTGCATTTGACTGGAGGAAAGGAAAGCAGAGCTCTGGTCCTGGGCTGGATCCCTTTTGATGTTTCACCTTGAGCACAGAGAGAGGACAATTACCCCCTCCCCCCAGCACATCCCAAACTGTGGAAACTGTAGAGTAATTCTCCTTAACTGGAGCCTTTGTGGGAATGGATTTATGGACCTCCAAGACAACATAGTTGAGGGCTCCTGAGGAAGAAATAGATCAAAGCTCTGTGTTTACTTCCTTAATGTGAATGTGTCGAGATAGCATCGTCCTGGATGGTATTGTAGTATTGGAGCTCACTGTAGATAAGGGACAGAGGTTCCTTTGTAGCCATCTGGATACACTAGGTTGGATTAAGGGCTGTGAAATACGAAGGCAGAAAGCATGTGAAACGTAAGCGTATGTCAGTAAATGGAGACAAGTTTTTGACTCTCCATAAATGAATTTCGTTTATTGTGGCAACGTTTTCCCAGTGATTTGCTACTCAACCCCAACAATTTAACAGTCTCAGATTTCTTTAATATTTTTCTTGTATGACCAAGAAGAAAATGCTCAGAATCATTCTTCAAGTAATATTTTCAAACTTGCACTGCTTGCATAATAGATTTTATAAGAAAATATCACAAGAGGAAAATGGGCTTTTCCAAACATTATCTTTATCCATTTGATGTTGTTAGTAGTTCGTGGAAGTTTATAGAAAGCAAGTGGCCTATACATGTGTGACTATCACTCTCATCAAAATGGAATTAGGGGCGTCTTCAGCTACAAACTGATGATGAGAAAATTTGGTGAAATGGATAAAATTGTTTTATTATTATAACTATTTATCTGCCATCTCGGCAGATAAATGATTTAATCAAAGAGATCTCAATCCCCCTCCCCCCCCC